ATATGTATAAAGAGAGCAAAGAGCTACAAATTAATTTTAAGTTAAAATCTCCACTCTTCCTATCTCCGGGGAAGTTGGGCTGTGGTTCAGCTTTTGTTCAGTATAGTTTTGCAGAGCACGGTGGATTTGGGCTCTTTCACCTATGGGTGATGCATATTTATCTGCATGACTCCAGGTAGGGAAAGCCCCCAAAGCAATGAGCACACATGGAGCTAATGACTCCCGATTTGTTTAGGTGTGGGGGGACACACAAGTGACAGAGCATGCCAGAAGAGGGCAAAGAGGCCTGGGCCCCTTAAACCTAAGGACATGCAATTTTGTTGATTCAGAATAAAGACCTGAACCACCCAAATTGCTGACAAAGTACAGATGTAATTTTTTAGCATTGAAAATGGCTTTCTTTTCTACTCTATTCTTTTTGCTCTCTAGTTCAACTAAATGATCAATGCAGCAAAAAAGAACTTTTAGTTACTGGTAACGCAGGCATCGAAAATAGAAAAATAAGCACACAATAAATATTTGATGAATGAAAAGATACAAAGATTTAAAACAGCACTCTAGAAATGAGCACATATATTTTAGAGAGATTAAAGTAACAAAAACAAAGACTCAGAAAAGTCGTATGAAAAAATCCAAGTGGGAAATGGAAAAATAGCAGGTGAGCTTACTATGAAGATAAAAGTAATCATGCCATTCTTCATTGCCAAGGAGAAAGATTGATTCCCGCCCACTCGGTGATATGTTACTTTTCTGGTTTTAGGTTTGTGCTGATCCATCATAATCTTCTATTTGTTCCTTCCTCAGACACATGGCAAATCTGTTATTTTACAAGTATGAGATATCTCTGCCCCTCCTCTGTCCCCAGGGACTAGAAGATTTCTCAGAGCATGAAACAAGCTCTTGTCCTCAAGGCACTTACAGGGCAGTTAAGGAGAATGCAAACAACGTGGAAAGAGAACAATACGAGGGCATTTCAAAAAGTTCCTGGAAAAATAGAATTAAAAGACAATATGAATCTTTCCATGAACTTTAAGGCACTTACAGGGCAGTTAAGGAGAATGCAAACAACGTGGAAAGAGAACAATACAAGGACATTTCAAAAAGTTCCTGGAAAAATAGAATTAAAAGACAATATGAATCTTTCCATGAACTTTTTGAAGTGCCCTCATACAGGAAATGGTGTGTACAAAATGACTGAGAAAAGTGCAAGTGTATATTTGTTTCAGTCCTATTGGATTTAGGAGTCAAATGCTGAGAATGAGATAAAAATGGATTGCTTCTTATGTTTGAAGGAATTAAATGCAGTAATTGCCCTCATTAACATCTCACAAAAATCACTGAAAAAGAACCTATCCTTTGTATTTAGAAGAGGAAAATTTAGAAAAAAATTGTTTTGTTTACCATGAGCAAATCATGCATACATTTGCACTTAGATATAATGGCTTAAAATAAAAGAATTAACCCCTATAGTAAAGAACAACGACCAAATTCACAAATAATTAAATTTGTAAGTTTACTGGGGAAAAATTGGTAATTACATAATTACTAATTAATTATTTTAAGACAAGTGCCATCCTGCTAAAATATTGACTAACCCTAAGCTTGCATTGAAAAAGAAGAGTTTAATTAATTTAATTACTAGAATTCACATTGAAAACATAAACAGAAATACCATTAGGGGTAACTGATCTTTTTCCTACCTCCTGTGGACATATGCCCACATCAGTCTCTCTCTATGATCTTACACATCCTCTTCAACACCAGACTATCCTACAGAGCACCACACCTATCCTATTTCATTCACTGTTACTCTTTCCCATGTTTTATAACCCGTTTTCATTTCTAAATCCATCTCCTTCCTTTTTCTTCCAGACAGAGGAATCTCCTTATATCAATGGCAGGTATTATAGTAAAATTATCATTTCCCCTGAAGAGAATGTTACATTAACTTGCACAGCAGAAAACCAGCTGGAGAGAACAGTAAACTCCTTGAATGTCTCTGCTAGTGAGTATTTCATTTCTGGCCTTAAAAAAGTAAGAAAATTTGAAGTTATTCTTCATTAGTTTAAAATCTTCAATTTCATCTTCCTGTACTGCATTATGGTAAGTTTTATTTATTTTGCATTTGGTATCATCATCATAAGGTTATCTTTTCTTTTTTTCTGGTGTCCATTCTTGTACTCTCCTTGTCATTTCATGTTTTATGGTTCAGAGACCTTACCCTGTACAGGAATATTTCCCAAGAGAAATATTACTCTTATTTAATCCTTGTTTTGTGGTGAGAGTAGAGATAATTCAAAGATTGTCTTAAAGCATATTTGCAACAGTTTTAAATTCAGAAAATTTTTAAGTCCATTTATTCTCATTATTTTGAATTCCAATTCTTTCTGATATTTATCCTACCCTTATTTTGTACAAGAATGTCATAAGCTTAAAGTCAGTCAGCAAATTAGTAGAAAAATTGGTGTCAGAATTTATGAAGTCTGGTTTCAAAATTGTTCCTTTTGTTATATGTTTGAAGCATAGCCAAAAATTAGTTAAATGAAATTATCTCAGAGAAAGTGAAAAAATCTGTCAGTGCTGAAATTAGGACAATACATACATACTAATAGCAGCTTCTTCTGAAAACAATTGTCGTTTAATGTGAAATTAATGATCATCTTCAATTCTGTTATTGTTCCTGTTGCTGTCAGTCTTACGTCAGGACTGGTTTATAATGAGGCTCGGATCTGGACAGAATGATAACTGACCTGCCAAACCTTTCTTCTTCAGTCAGCTGTAATCTTGTATGTGACATTAGCAGGCTAGGGATAGATACACTGGCTAAGAATTAGCAGGAGCTAAGAGAAACTAATTGTCTAAAGATAATAGTCCCTAACAGATTATGACTGGAATATAAAGGCCTGATGACTTGACAGGAGAAGAAAACCAAACAAATTTAACTCTAAAATAGGAGCATTGACATCTCAGAATGCAATTCAGGCACCATTAATTTGTCCTACCTAGAAAGAGAACCTATCCTTTTTTCCTGAACGCCAAGTCTCTTCTTATGCTAGTCCATTGAATGGTGTGCTTCAGTTTCCTAGACTTTGCAGTGGCTTGATCAACATTTAATACAGTTGTTTTCAAATTCACTGAGCACCTCCTGAGATTCCAATTTAGTATGAAGAAGGGCCTGGGAGTCTGCATGTTAACAAACATCCTGGCAGTTCTGGACATGGGCCCATGCCCTTTGAACAATATTTCTATAGTTTTATATTAGACGATAATACACAACAGTGGTGATTCCTAAAATGGACCAAAGGCATAGCACTATCAGAGTCACTTGAAGGGTTTTTACAAACATCACATATGTTGCTTCTTAATATCTAAAGCATCTGCAGTTTTAATCTCTACCTCTACCATTTTGAGAACATCTCTAGTGATAAGTCTTTGACACTAGAGAATGAAAATCAATTCTATAGTGGGTCAGGAAAATTTGAGAAAATTTGAGAAACACTGCATTATAGACTTCATAGGTACCAACTTGTTCCTCTTAAAAAAGAAGTACTGTTTAAAGGTAGTAAAGAGTGGACAAATTAATATGGATTTCAGATTAATACTATAGCTTGTCAGTTGTGAAATTTTCTGTGGCTGGTTAACCTTTGCAGTTTTAACTACTCTTCTTTTCTTAAAACAAAATTAATTTATTTGTAAGGAAGGTCATGCTCTATTAAGTGTGAATTTTTTTACCCTTAGCTGTAGAATAGATATTTTATCTCTGAGTATTATTACATCATACTATTATGGTAAAGGTGACTTTCATATATCAACAAATTTTGTTTTTAATTTCATATTAACATTTTTCATTTCAGTAAGTATTCCAGAACACGATGAGGCAGACGAGATAAGTGGTAGGTACTATGCTGCCGACTCTTCTTCCTTGACTATCAGCTCAAGCTTTATGAAGTGTCATTATATAAGTAATTTTCTTAGCTGTCTACAATTTTGACTTGAATTAAAATACCAAATGAGACAAGATAGTAAGAATGTTAAAATTTTACCCTTTAAAGTCATGTTTGCATGTTAATCAAAGTAATGAGCATTAGTCATTTTTAATAAGAATAACTAGATTGACTTCTTTTTTAAAAAGATCCTTGGCATTGTCTGTAATTGTATGGACTTTTCTTCTTTGTTGTAGATGAAAACAGGGAAAAGGTGAATGACCAGGCAAAACTAATTGTGGGAATCGTCGTCGGTCTCCTCCTCGCTGCCCTCGTGGCTGGTATCGTCTACTGGCTGTACATGAAGAAATCAAAGTAAGTTGTGGAAAAAGAATCTTCATTGCTCATTGACTTGCACTGGGAGGAAATACAATGTGTTAATTGTGCTCATTCCAGCTGTGCATGCAATTACTATTATAAGAAGGACATATTCTGGTCTCCTCCTCGCTGCCCTCGTGGCTGGTATCGTCTACTGGCTCTACATGAAGAAATCAAAGTAAGTTGTGGAAAAAGAATCTTCATTGCTCATTGACTTGCACTGGGAGGAAATATAATGTGTTAATTGTGCTCATTCCAGCTGTGCATGCAATTACTATTATAAGAAGGACATATTCCCCAAAGCAGGTTGATCATATTTTGTTTCAGCTCACATGGACTGCACTGCCAACATCAGGGACATGGACTGGCATGTGATTTCACATGTGTCCTCATATTTTTCTCAGTCAATAGTCTGAATTCAATTATTCAATTTCTTTCAGCACATGGGTGGATTTTGAAAGTATATACTGTCTAAAGGTCAGGTATTCAAAATCTTTTGGTTGAAGTTGGTAAAGATTAATTAAAAGCGGCTAGTATGTTTTGTAGGGACTGCCTTTGCAGTGACAAGTCTGGTCAGCAATGAAACTGCTAATATCATATTGTCATTACTCCCCTATTCTAGTTAACTGTCTTTGCTACATATAAGAATCTATTTCAGAGAAAAATACATCATTATTTTGGCTTGCATTTTTAAAAGATGATTAGGCAAAGTACCAAGATTACTTGAAAAATGCTTTAGATGATGTTAGGATAAAAATTATTAAAGTCTTATAATATTACAATTAGTGTGAGACTTACAAATCATCTAACAGTAGTTTATAATGAAAATTTCATGAACCAATGAAGATTCTTAAAATATGCTCATGCCTAGTACTTCTCATTGCCCACTTCCAATCCTAGATTCAGATGTGATCGGGCAGGGGTGGGGTTCCAGCATTTACATTTTCAAACAGTTTCATCGGTGATTCTGTGTCATGTTCCTGTTTCAAACATGGGTTTTAACGTGCCCCCCCCATCTTATAAAAGAGGAAATTGATTTTTGCAATGTGATGTCTATAGCTAGTGGCAACTTTGGACTTAATTTTATATTTTCTTTATGTCTGGTATATCCCCTTTTAAAAGAACTCAGGAAAAAGAAAAAGTAAACTCAAATCAGGATTTGTGATCTCGTCCCATGAAGATATCAATTCCAGTGAAGCAATATTTGAATGGTGCTAGCATCCAAGGGAGGCCGTATCTCAGAAATTATGAAAGTCACATAACAACAAGAGCATGTACTGAGCTCTTTTGGTCTCAGAGCACAACTGTGAAGTACTTACCATTATTATTCATGGTTTACATTTGAAAAATCTACAGCAGAGAATGGTTAAATTACTTGCTCAAGGTTACACATTTTGTAAGGGGCAGAATTGTTATTTAATTTAAGTCTATGATGTTTTAAAATCTTCGTGCTTGATCACTAGTCCTTACTTTCTCTTGTTATGCTTATTTTCCCTCCTTTTGGCAAATAAGACAGAAACATTTTTCCTTTTTGTGTATTGTGGCTGATGCACATAATGTCCATTCTCGCACTGGGGGACATCCCTCCTGATCTTGGCACTTCACTCAGTTTTTAGGAGTCCCCACCGATACTTGGTAAATAAACTAAGTCAGGGTTCTCTAGATCAGACCAATGGTGTGTGTGTATGTCTGTGTGTGTGTCTGTGTGTGTGTGTCTGTGTGTCTGTAAAGAAAGATTTATTATAAAGAGCTGGCTCACATGATTATGGAGACTTGAGATGTCCCAAGATCTTCAGTCAGGAAGCCAGAGACCCAGGAGAGCTGTGTGTCTGTAAAGAAAGATCTATTATAAAGAGCTGGCTCAGATGATTATGGAGACTTGAGATGTCCCAAGATCTTCAGTCAGGAAGCCAGAGACCCAGGAGAGCCGCTGTGTAGTTTCTGTCCATATCCAAAAGCCTGAGAACCATGAGAGCTCATGGTATAAGTTGTAGTCTGAAACCCATCAGAATCAAGATCCAGGAAGAGCAGATGTTTCAGTCAGAGTCTGAAGGCAGGGAAAAAATAATGTCCCAGCTCAAGCAATAATGCAGGAGGAGTTTCATCTTCTGTGTTCCATTCAGATCTTCAGTTGATTGAATGAGGCCCACCCACATAAGAAAGGGCAATCTGCTTTACTTTGTCTGCTGATTCAAATGTTAATCTCATCCATAAACACCTTCATAGACACAGCCAGAATAATGTTTGGCCAAATGTCTGGGTACCACATGGCCCAGTCAAATTGACACATAAAATTAATCATCACTCCTAGTAACAAATATGTTCCTTTTCTTTATATTTTACCTAAAACACTTCACATGGGTTTGTGTCCATGGTGTCTATGGAGAATTTAGAAGACTGATTGTACCATGTAAATGAAAGGAAATGCAAATAGTTGCCCAAAGGCAATATCTATCTTCTAGAAATTCTCCTTCCATGCACACAAGTTTTCTGATGATCAAAATTTTATCCTCCCTTTATAGTCCATGAAAAGACCCTCACAAATGTAACAGCCTGGCTCTAGGCTATTTGCATTTTATTAGGATTTTGATGCACTCCAAAGTAATTTTAGTTGTTAAAAGAGTAAAGACAAAACTTCCCTGTACCCTGAAAGTTAGCACATGGTTCTCTGCATTATGGTTAAATGAATTTTAAATTCTTAGAGCACCCCCAGCATCCTTAATCATCCTATTTTAATGGCCAGTATCTCATCAGACAGCATTTTTCCTTCTGTGAATACAAGAAGCGTGTGTGTGTGTTTATTACTTCATTAGTTATTTCCATGTGGTGACCCAAAATGAAAATTATGAATAAATAAATGCTGGACATTTGACTTCATAATGTTATTAGGTTAAGGCCTCACGCATTTCCCTTAAAGTGTCTCATTAAATTAAGTGCAACTTTTACCTTCTGATTTGAACATTCATCTAAGTAACTGTTATTTAATTGAAAAGTGCACCAACTTTGATAGAGTTAATACTATTGGTAATCAAAATAATAAATTGAAATTCACATCCCAAGCATCAAAAGGATTTTATTAAGAATTTGTAGAACACTTCAGATTAGCTAAGTGCTTTACATTCATGATTATTTATTCCTTGCCTGTGCCCTCTGAAATTAAGCAGCATTTTTGCAGTATGAGTTGGTATTCTTAACCCCTTATGACACTTGTCCAGAGTAAGTTCAGATTCATAATAAGAGCTTTAAAGTTAAAAATTCCTAAGGCTATTTTTGTGATACAGGTAGCAAATCAGTGACGTTTTCACATTTAGGGGAAGTTCTTTGCATTGGTAATTTAAAAAGTCATTGGAGAGAGATAAGAGAAACAATTTTTTATTGCTAAGTAGAATTTAAGAATACATTTGTTAATAGTGTTCAACTAGCATTCACTCCCCATCTAACAGAAGCTACATCTTTTTGCATCTGTTTCAACTATGGAGGACTGCAAAAAGAAATACTTAGCAGTTAACGTTCTTTTCTCATTGTGACATGGCACATTTATTCAAGAGAATGGATTCATAATTCCTTTGCCATTTTAGTGAATATAACTTCTCACTGGAAGTTTTTTTAAAATTACATGTTTGATAATGAGTATGGGTGGCTCTAATCATTGCCCATGTATGTAGGTATGTAACAGGGTCAGGCAAAAGGCATTACTTGACTAAGTCCACTTCGTGTCCAGTTGTTTAACAGGTAGAATATCATTAAAGTACAAGATAACTCAATATTTATTTTTTATTATTTTTCCATTTCTCTCCACCTTTTCCTTCAAACATAGTTTTTAGTTCTGTAGGAAATTCAATGTTACTATTTGAGATCTGTATCCTCTCCTGCATAACTTATAGTACAGAACTAATGAAAAACTAAGAGTTGAAGATAAAGAAACAGGGTAAAGGCAACATGACATAGCCACAAACTTCTTCAGACATTTATTACAGCCATAATGTTCAGGTTGGTTGCATTTAAAGGACCCCTGTCCACCATACTTCTTATCTCTGAACTGGGAGCAAGCATTATAGTCACTGTGTAAATCTTGGAAAGTTACCAAAAAAGTTAGCTTTTGCAACTATGGAACTCAAGACTATTTTCGTGAGAAGTATTGTATGATATACAGATAATCCAGAAAACTAAAAATCACCAATATTCTGTGTTAGTTGTGTGTTATATAATGCTACGTTATTGAGTACTCTCTCAGAAAAAAAACAAAGAAAGTTGTAAATTGGCCGAAGGGCTAAAGAGGACTCACCTGTAACACTGAAACCTCAAGAAACAATGTTATATTAAGCCTTTCTAGAACCTTTCCCATCAATATCTCTTGATATACGAAAGAGGATCTTACAAGAAAGTAGATTTTAACTGGATTCTATTTTGCAATCAATACTCACTTTAAAATTAAATATGATTCCATGAAGGAGGAGAGACTCCCCACTGAAAAAATTAAAAGGGATAGTGCTGGTGAACCACTTATAATACATTTTTAATGACTCATTTATCACTACATGAGCACTTATTCTTCTTTCCTTTCTTTTTCTTTCTTTCCTTTTTTTTTTTTTTTGGTAATTTTGCTGAAATCCTTAATTTAATGAGGTACCTACAATTAACTCCATTTCATAGAATCTAAGTCTCAGTGGTATTAACCTGCCCAAGATATCATAAGTAGTATTTTATTCCAAATCTCATGTACTTTCAAATACATTTTGCTGCCTTACCAAGACTTCTTTGAAATTAAAATTTCAGCTCTGTCTTTGATTGCCTGCTGGTACCTAATATAGTTCTGTGGAGGAAGAGATATGCTCTTAAGTAGAGGACTGATGTATTCTCTCACCTTGTCATAGAAGTTGGACTAATCCAAGTTTTGAATTCTTTCTCTTTCTCTCCCATAGCCTGGCAGGCAGCCAAAAGAAGGGAAAATTATTCTGTCAAACCATAAATAACAGTGGACTAGAGGGGAAATAGAGTAATGTGGAAATGCCACCGTCTCTGTTTAGTCAATCACAGGGTCATTGGCCACTCAGATGGCAGAACCATCCATGGCCCTACCTTTCCAACTGCGTGTGACCCGAAAGTTTCCAGAGGAAAGAAAGGGCTTACATCAAACTATAATGTTTTCATTTTAAAAATTTCCTCTGTATATATTCG